GTATAACATTAGAATTTCCGTCCCGGCGGGCGCAAAGTTACATTTCCCTCCCGCTTCGCCATGCACTGAAAGGTTGCCGCGGAACCTATCCACCGCGTTATTCAGCGTAACCGATTTGTGTAGTAGATGGCTAATGCGGCTACCTAGCTGTTGGATTGTGACTAACAGTGCAACTTAGCAGCTAGCCAAATGCCAGTCAAAATTTCTACCTGGGATTCACATCGAAATATACTATTTCGTCATTCCGGCCGTAAGGCAGCGCGTTACGAATGCTACGCGTTCAAATACAAAAAATATCATTCGACGCACGGCCTAAAAAAAACTTTTCTAGCTCATATGATCGCAACTGTCGTCTTCGGCTCGGGCTACAAACTTATATTCGTCAAAAAAAGTTTTTTTCGGTCTAATGACGAAACATACTATTTCATTTACTGGTAAACGAAAGAAGACACAGTTCACCACTCGTTGAATTTAACATCTCACCGCGAAAAAAATATAGTTTGACACATGTGCGATGGGGGTTTTTTAGTTAACTTCTGCCAAAAGGTTGAGGGCTCACCCAGCCGATTTCTGCTTGTTAGGGATTGACCTACCTCGGCTCTGGGCGAGCGTGAGATTGCTAACAGAGCAACTGACTGTACCGACGCAGATTTTCTGTGGTTCCCTGCATCTCCTTCAGTCGCGAGTGGGATAAATGCGGAACATCGCACGTAGGAAAAAACGAACGGGCCAAGCTCTGTCCAAGATCGGCGGCCGGGCTGCCGAACTTCGGGGCCCGTTCCTTAACCGGGAGCGCGCCGGACTTGGTTGAAAACTGGGATGATAACATCAGGCCAGGTCTGGGCGCCGATCTCGGCCCAGCGTTGGTCGCCATTCGGTGGCTAGGCTCAATTGAATATTACTCAATTACATGAATATGATATGGGTGATTGAAATACAAGTAATTCAATATCACTCGTGAGCATTCGTACGTTTAAGTAGGAAAAAAAAAATCAATATGACTGGTGCCGGGCTGGCTGCCAAACTATGCTTGGCAGTTATCAATAATAACAAAAACAAAATAATGAACATTTTTATGATGATTTTTATTATTAATTGTGCCCTACATCGCTGAAAAACCGCTTTTGCTAACTCAAAATATTACCCCAACTTGGGATCGAACCCACGACCTCACGACTACTAATCGGACGCCCTAACCACTAGCATACCGCGCAATTGGTTAAATCTGTACTTCAAATGTCCATATTAATGTCACCTCGGTTTTTTTCGACTTGAACGTTCTATTATTCAGTTGATAGAGATATTAAGTGATTCAACTGTAGTTTAATCGGTAAATTAATTCAATAATGAATCAGACTAATAATAACTATTAATAATAACAATTCTATATAATAATCCGATAAAATTTTTCATCTTTGATTCAGCCTCTTTGGTATTTTTTCAATGTATTTTATCGATCTGCAATAATAAAAAACGATTCTGTAGAAATTTTCATAGAATTGAAAAAAAAATCCCAATTTTAGCATTTTCCGGGAACATCGAAAAATCAATTTTTCTGTTTTTTTGTTGATGATCTCTCTTTGCATTTTTTCTATTATATCTGATCAAAATTACATCATAGAAATGAAAAATATTAATATTCCTTTGTTATTTGAAGAAAAAAACAAATTTTGAATTTTCCGAAAATATCAAAAAATCGATTTGTTAATTTTTTTACTGATGATCTCTCTCTGTATTTTAATCATTCTCTTCCATTGCAATAAGATTACATAACCGAAAAGTATTGATGTCCCATGATTGTTTCGAAAAAAAAACAATTTAAAATTTTCAGGAAAGCATTAAAAAATTCGATTTTTTATTTTCTTATTGATCCTTCATTTTCTTGATTCCCTGCTATTAAAATCAGATCATAGGAACTAAAAATATTGGTTTCCCTTGATTATTTTTGAATGGAATAGAGGAATCTTCAAAATTTCCCGGAGATATATAAACGGTTCGCTGTTTATATTGTCAATATGTTGGCAATTTGGAGGAATGAAGATACCAATTAATGGAAAATTTGTGTGTGTAATTTCCGGGGTGGAATATACCTCATCTGGAAGTGTTTTTTGGCCATTAATGACACAAAATACGGGGGCGTAGCATTAATTAAAAAAAAAAGTCTTGTCCGGGGTAAAAAGTAAGAAAAAAAAATGAGGAATAGATTCAGATTCATCTCATGATGAACGATGGAGGAAATAAAGAGAAGAGGATAATTTACTGAACCCTGATTTTTGTATTTGATAAATGAAGGAGATTGGCAAATCGGAACATCGTCATCTTGATAATTTTCCTCAATTATGATTAGGAATTTCTGAAAGAATAAAATTGATTTTTAGAATTGTTGAATTAATTGATTGATGGCTGTTATCGGTCCTGTTCAATTACCTCATTCTGATTCTTCCGGCTCTATCATTATTTTGGAATGAGTATCATATTCTTCAAAAAATATAATTTGGTCTTTTGAATCGACAAGCCATTCAAACTCAGAGTACTATCGTTCTCGAAAAGTGCCGTTATTGAATTTTACTGTGCGTTGATTTCGTGATATTGCATTTCGGATGTGTGTTAACTGCATAAAAACATATATTATCATGTACAGATGATTCGATTATTATATAGAATGGACGCACTCACATAATTTCTCGGAAAGAAATAGGTCAGTGTTGGAAACAAATCTCGGTCATTACATTATATTAATCCGATAAAAAATTTAATCTCCGATTTTTATTCTTTGCTATTTTTTTAATGTATTCTATCAAAATGTGAGGATAGAAATTGAATTGATGGGTATTCTTCCATTATTTGAAAAAATATATCAATTTTAAAACTTTCCGGAGACATTGAAAAATCGAAATTTTTATTTTCTTACTGATCACGTATCTCAGTTTTTTTTTCACTTTCTTCCATTGAAATTAGATCATAGAAAGGGAACATATTGATATTTTTTCGGCATCTAAAAAAAATGAAGGAGGTAGCATAAAAAATGAAAAAGATGGAAATAGTTATATGAAAAATGTAGTACATAAAGAAATTTTTGAACAATATGTAATTGTGAAAAATATATAGATCATCATCCCAAAAAAAGTATCAATACTCTCCTTATTATTTAACATAATTATCTCTTCATTTGAAAATGAAAAAAACTGTTCCCACAATTTGTATACTACAATGGGATTAGAATCCAATAAATTTAATTTAATCTAACCGCAAAGAAAAATTGGAAAGAAAATAAAATAAATTAACATAATATAATATAACCTAGCGACGGGCGCGAAGCGCCCGTTCGCTAGTAATTATAACAATGACGATTAATTTTCGATGACGATTCTTCTTTTTTTCGTGATAATTAGCGAATAACATGTGACTCCAATACCTACAATGCCACCATTTTATTTTTACGATTACACCCTTAAAATTTTACCCTCAAGTTTCCACCCTTACTATTCAACTCTCACAATGTCACCCTTATGATTTTTTCGCCACTTTCCATTATTAAGATTTAACCCTTACAATTTTACTCTTCAGATTTTACCCTTATGTTTCTACCCCTATGATTCCATTCTCATCATCTCAGCCTTCTGACTTAACCCTTATAATTACTCCAACGGTTGGAGCCCAATGATCAAATTGAGATCCGGCATGCCAATGTTCAGCCAAGGCTGGGCCGGATGGGTCAACCAAGGCTCTGTTACCCGCCCTTCCCCCGAGACTCATGTCCTGGTCCCCAGGAATGGCCGAACGTCGGGCCAAGCTTGGGCGCCCAGACTTGGCAAGCCCAGGCTTGTGCCAGACTTGGCCCGTTTTTCCAACACTGGCATTCCCAACGTGGGATACACCGCCTCCGAAGTGTACAAAGTCGGCCACAACTGCATGGGTAGGCAGGGCTTAGATAAGCGCATGTGCGTATGAGTGTATACGCAGCGACCCGTTGCAAAGTTATATTTCGTCTGCTATCGTAAGCGTTAGGAAAAGTGCCACTTTATGCACGAAAAATCTGTAAACGAAAAGGGACGTTTTCAATACGAGTTTCAAAACTCGTTTCAACTTCGCCCTCGTGAAAAACCCGTCATAGGGTAGGCGGGGGCTACACCGCTCAGCGGGCATCTCCGCTCACCTATTTTTCGCATGACTTATTAAGAAAAAAATTTGTTTTGTTTTTTCAAATCGATGTATTTACAACTAACATCTAATTTCGATCAAAGTTTCTAAATTGTTATCGTTGAAAGTTAATAAAAAATTATATCATTGACTTTCAATGTAATCGATAGAAGAATTTGACTCCAGAATTTAAGTTTTTTCACCTTTTCAGATACATAAAAAAATGAAAAGTTATGAAATATCAGCTGATAATACATTTATCCATCGATTGGAACATAGTTGATGATGAAAAAGACCCTGGTAAATTAATTATTAATGATTTTTTGACACCCGACATTTGCGGATAATTCCACTCGGGGAGTGTTCCTAATACCACTCACTCTCTGGGTTGTAACGCTCGCCGCGTGACAGCTGGGATGCATGGGCGAGTTACTGGCCGGCGAACGATCAAGTAAGTTTAGCATTCATTATTGTTCGTAATAAAATAAATATGGGAAAATAATGAAAGAATGAGAATCGAGAATAAAACGATGCAATCAGTGTAATGTTATTAATAAAAACGACGAATTCGTCGAGAAGTTAGGTGGACCCATCAGTTGCTCAAAAGTTATCGATATTTATTTTTTTCTAGAATGCCACGGGACAAAACACCGAAGGGGCCTAATATAAAGGGGAAATGGAGTGAAGAAAATCTAAAAAAAGCTATACATGCTGTTGAAAATGATGGAACGTCGCTTCATACAGCTTCAGAGACGTACGGTATTCCATTCAGTACACTGAGAGACAGGATAAAAAATGGAATCACAAGTGGACCATCCATGGGTTGAACCACAATATTCACCAAAGAACAGGAGTCTTTTATGGCTGCAGAAATTTTAGTTTTAGCTAAATTGTTCTATAAGGTAACACCCGAGCAAGTTTGTACTACTGCCTATGACTTTGCAGAAAGGCACAATACCCCACACAACTTCAACCGTGCAACCAAAAGAGCTGGACGTGCTTGGTTCGAAGGATTTATGAAGAGAAATCCAAATCTATCGGTGCGAAAGCCAGAGAATACCGGCATCAACCGTGTCACCGCGTTTTCAGAGGGAGAAGTGTCCATATTTTTTGATAATTTGGAAACACTTATGAATAAACACTGCTTTCTTCCATCGAGAATATTTAATATAGACGAAACAGGTATTAATGCTGTGCGTGACCCAGTCAAGTTTATTGCAGAAAAAGGACACAAGAGAGTGGGTGTGATAGCGAGTGGACAACGAGGAAAGAACGTGACAGTTGTATGTGCTGCTAGTGGTTCTGGAGAGTACATCCCCCAATGTTCCTTTTCCCTCGTCAACGTACGGCCCCAAGTTTGCAGAATGGTGGACCTACTGGTGCAGTCTACTATTGTTCATCCAATGCAGGCCTATTTGGACCAATGGACCAATGCAGGCCTATTTCGCACCTGGTTAGAGCATTTTGTCTCTCACCAACATTGTTCCAAAGATGATCCAGTGCTCGTCATACTCGACAATCATGACAGCCACGGCTCTCTTGCTGCGTTTGACTACTGCCGAGGCAATGGTATTTTTTTGCTGTCACTGCCACCTCATACATCTCATCGCACTCAGCCACTCGACGTTAGCTTTTTCGGTCCACTCAAGGGTACGTTGAAGAAGCACACTAGTGAGACCTTGAAAAATTGAGTGGGCAAAAGAGTCACATTTTATGAGTTGGCTGCGATTTTCAATAAGGCGTATGTTAATGTGGCCTCCATACAAAATGCCATTTCAGGATTTGAAGCTACAGGTATATGACCAATGAACAGAAATATCTTTTCTCCCGAGGATTTCAAGCCTGCTGAAGTATTGAAAGCACTGTCAGAGAGCCAGGGAGTACCACTGTGTGGTCCAGATGGTCATTTATTGGAGCTAGATATCCCTGTTATGATCGCAGATGGCAACGAATTCCGGGTGTTGGATTTCCCATTTTCGACAGAAGATATACCCCTGAGTGAAGGACAGCAGAGTCAACCATCAACAAGTGGGATTATTCATGGAGAAAGGACTTGAGCAACCTGAAGTGGTGACTGTCAGAACACCTACTAGCACCCCTCCTGATGTTAATCTGAACACTTCTGATGCTGGTAGCGTTGTAGTACAATCAATCTTATTGGGAACTCTTCAAGTTAAGTCAGGTCTGGATCCAAAAGCTATTGGAGATCCTGATAACTCTATCAACCCTAACGTTCATGAAAATGATGCTAAAGAACGACTAGGTTCTCCGAACATAACTAATGGTTCTCCAGGTCCAATTCCAACGTCCACTGGAGATACACCTCGCAGTAGATTTACTCGTTCCAGAATGCCCATAAAGACACACAGACAACTCCCACATGGAGCTCCAAACTCAGGAATGCCACCAATCCCATCAAATTCATTTCTAACGCTGAGACAATCTTCTCTGCCATCGACCGCCTCAAATGGATCCCCAATGTCAGGACGAGCATCTATGACCTCGATCCCATCTCCATCGCTACCCCGATCGTCAATGACACCGAAATCAGCCCCATCAGATGCAGCTACAACTCTGGGACAAATTTTTACTAGACCAACATTATAACTCCCCACCAAACTCGCTTTTCAACACCCACTTTAGTGACTCCCAAAATACACAACTTATTCTCCTCTCAATCTCCTTTATCCCACCTTCTTAAATCATTATCTCCTTCTCCAGAGTGTCATAATTCAGCACCTCCTCAGGTCATCATCCTCAACTTGGCATCTCCAACCTCAGTGGTAGAGAAAGAGATAAAAACAACTGTCGTTGGGAGTTCCAAAGTTAAAAAAGGACCCAAAACGCAACACTCAACAATTTTGACGAGTTCGCCACTCAAGGAAGTCTTTGAGATTAAGAAACGTAAACGAGAGGAGAGAGAAGAAAAATCTGAGAGAAATAAAAAGAAGGTTGTACGAGTCAAGAAGGAGAAAGAAGATTCTACAGAGACTGAGAAGAAGAAAAGAGTTAGAAAGGTGTTAATGGTTGACAAATCAAATGGTAAGAACGACGTTATCATTTACCTCTGAATTACATGGAATTCATATTCTAATTCTGAATGTTTCTCCATAGAGGCAGCCCAAGAAGAGCCAAGCAATGGAGATTCGGTCTGTGAGGTTTGCCAAGAATTTGGAAAGGATGAGATCTGGTACCGATGTCGAGAGTGTGGCAAGTGGTCCCATGCAGCATGTATTGATACAACGACTGCCGAATCATTCGTCTGTGATTTATGTCATAAATTACCTGAAATTTAGTGGTTTCCGTATTTTCATATACTTATTATTATGTTCTAAAGTAAGTACAAACCAAAGGAAAATATCTGAGATTTGGATTAAGAAAAATATTCTTATCAGAGGTATATGTGTGTTATTTGCTAAAAAAAAAATATTTACAATGTATTTTCATATTATAATTGAAAAAATGAGTATAAGTGAGTTCCTCATTCGTGTTCAATATGAATAAATTTATAAAAAAGTGTCCAATCTGCATTTTTTAGTTGACTACCTCGTGTGAGAAGTAACTGAGTAGTTTGACAGCGAGTGAGTGGTATTACAAACACCCCGAGCGGTAATACCCACATCGTGAGGCAGTACCGCTCAATCGTTGGTGTCAGTTAAAGTTCATAATTTGATATGTTGAGTGTTAATGAAAATTTTTTACTTTTGGAATTGTGAAGAAAAGGCTTCAAAAAACGTATTCCAAAAGTTAATTGACCCGTATATGTTCTGGAGATTGAAAAAATGAACTCTTTTCCTTAGGTGAGCGGTGCACCCCCCGCCTACCCTAATTGTATTGAAACATACTATTTTGAGCCTCGGTTCAGGGTTTGATGAACTGTGTTTCCATCGTCAATTCCTATCTGAGTTTATGAAGCACTTATCGGCTTCTGATTTTCCGTCAATTGTTGCCCGAGGTGTTCTTTATAAGAAATCAATATGATTTAATTGTGATAATTTCCTCAATTCTGATTTTGGCCAATCAGAGTATGGTATTCGAGGTCACGTGACACGTTTCACACTGATAATTTCCTTGTAGCCTGTTAATTATTTTCTACGAAATTGATAGACATTCCTCACATTGTGGTGAAATGTGCCCCGTAACCCCGAACACCGCACCATGATCGACCAAAATCAGAATTGAAGGAATTGTCCTCCGAATACCCCTCCACCTTCAAAATTCATCGGATATTTCCCGAATGTTTTGTTGCATAGCAACGAGAGGGATCAGTTTTGCAGATTAAAATCCCGAGCAGTCAGTGCGAATATCCGATGAATTTTGAAGGTGGAGGGGTATTATAGCTGAAAATTCACCTGAAAATAGAATAAAAATATTCGAAAGACCAGAAATAAATTAGAGGCGATCTCTGCAACCGCTCTCGAAAAAATGACAACAACAAGGAAATTTTTCCAGCATCAAGGTTCAATACAAAACGAGATTTGGATTGATGCCTGCACGTCCATCCCTTGTTATTCTAGCTGCGCGTTATCTTTCCACGGGTAATGACTTCCAGCATTAATTACCACTGGCAAAAGGCGGTTGGACGAGAGAAAATGGGGTGCATTCGGTATTACGGAAAAACCGCTGCAAGCGCGTGCAATATTTTATCCCCATAAAAATAACTCGACGGTTTTATTATTCAAGTGGGAGTTTTAATGTGCGAATGTAGCTTTTTCTGTAAATTAGGTCGTTCACGTTTTTCATAGCGCACTTTTTCTCTATTTTCTCCATTTTTGCCGGCTGCAAGCCGGGGATTTCTGTGCTCTGTACTACTCCATTGAATGAGGAAACGTCTTTTATTTCTAGCCTACAGTACAAATAATTCTCCACCCAGGCAGGAATCGGCGAGTTTCAACAACCGTCCCAAGCTTGGCTCAATCTCGACTTGCCAAGGCAAATAAGCTTGGACCATAATGTTGCCGATGGTTAAGCCAGTCTTCAGCCAATGGCGCATCTTGAGGGTTGGCTACCAGGGTCGGGCCAAGGATGAACGAAGACTGTCCACCGACGCATGGCCAACGAGAGGCTACCATCCTTTGTCCAGCGTTGGTGGGCAATGAGTAGCCAGAATCGACAGATCCCGAGGACGAAAAGTCAAACAGGCCAAGACTGGGCCAGTACTGGCAGCCGAGTCTTGGGTGCCGATCCTCAATCGGCCTTGGCCCAGCCTTGGCTAGCTACTGGTTTAATAACATTGGGCTGGTAATGGTTGCCAAGCGTCAGCCGATGATCGGCACCCGCAACCCACCCAATACTCATTTTTAATAGTTGAAAAAATTAATTAATACATTATTTTTTTATGATTTAGTTTACATTCTTCGGCTAAGCCTTCCTAAAGAAACCGATAACCACTAATAATGAGAAGTGCTAATAATGAAATTGTTAACTTGTCTTTCCTGTTTGACCCTTATCAAATCTCGGCGTCTGAAGTTTCCCCAATTACTGGCCGAGACTTGGGTTTCGACGGATAGCCATTTGACGTTCTGCCGAGACTTGGCCGTGAAGGAGTCGCCGAAACTTGGCAGGTCGGTTCACAGCCCATGTTTGGCCGTGAGTGGGTCGCCAATGCTTGGCATGCCAATTCTAGGCCGAGACTTGACCGATTCAACAGCATCGGCAATTCGGCCCCGGGACGTTCATTGGCGGCCGTTTCTGGTTCAAGCTCGACTAGCTCGTTTACGGCCTACCATCGGGTAGGACAGTTTCCATCCAACATTGGTCCGAGTGTTGTAGCGAAGGCTCATGTCCCACCAATGGCTGAAGACTGGCTAAATTATGGGTCCACGCTTGTCCATCAATGTCGGATGAGTCAAGGATGAGCCAATCTTGAACCAGCTGTTGAGAAAAAGGGGAAGGCGGTGAATTTGTAAAAACTCTCAGGGCCGAAGCAAGGAAGAAAGGAGAGAATAATAATAGTAATTTGCGATCATAATTACAAAGATCGAATCTTTAAGTGTAGTGGAAAATTGAAAAGCTGGGTTCATTAAAAATACTCAGGTGTGGGGAGGGGGAGAGGGTATTTTTTTCGCACCCCTCGAATAGCCAGATGATTAATAAACAATGAAATCGAAATTAATTGGGATTATATTTGAAAACTCATTCAGCGAAGAATGAAATCGAGATAAAGTTCATATATGGACGATTTGGGTTTACAGTGATAAGAAGTGCGCGGTAGACTAGTGGTTATAAGGCGTAGGACTAGTGATTTTAGGGTCGTGGGTTTCGAGATCGGCTCGGGGTAATTATTTTAAGTTAACAAGTTGAGTATTTTCTCTGAAAGATGCGTTAGGGGTGAGTGATTAGAGGATAATCAATCATAAAAATGATTGAATGAAAATTATTTTTGTTTTTTTTCATCATTTGAATCATTAAATATTAGTCACGACTAGCAACTGGCGACCAAGTCAGGCCTTGTCTTGGTGGCCAAGAATGGCCCAGGCATTATCATTTCGGGGCTCAACCAGCCTTGGATGGCTGTCTTGGTCCATGACTAATCAATGTTGGGCCGCCCTTGGACCAAGCTTAGGCTATTTGTTAATTCCTACCTATGGGGACCAACTAATACATCGAATATTTATACATCATCATCATCGTTTAATACTTTCGATATGAATAATAAAATTGCAGTGACGTAACGAGAACTTTATTCCACTGGTAAAGTCCAAATATAATTGAACTCGCATAAAATCTGAATTCAATGTGCCTGAATGTGCAATCAGTTGCGGTCGAACGATTATATTTTACCAGTAGCAATTAGAGCTATGAGATGAATTGACAGGTTCTGTCGATGTTCGATTATTCATACGCGCCTTTGTCACCCGCCATTATGTTTTTATTCATTCTCTTCATATAACTAATTATCCATGAATGTTTATCCTTTCATATATTGGTAAATTTAATCCTCCTAGGAGTGCAAAATTATTGAAAATAGATTTAAAAAATAAGTCACGAGCCAATAAACTGATCAAGAATTTTCGAAGAGTCTTTATGGGGAATTCTCTGAGTGTTCCCCCTCTGGAGAAATTCTATTTCTATCCAGACATTCTTATCTATATGGTCCCCTGACTACCGGATACTGGCAAAAGAATTCGAAAAACGGTGATAGGGTAAACGTTGAGGGTATCATCTCCACAACCCACATGTACTTCTTTATCATTCAATTTAAAATACCCCACGTTGACATGGGCCTGTGTCACGCGAATCAATTTCCTCCTTGCTCGTGTCCAGGAAATCGAATATATTGGAATCAGCGTGAGGAAGAGGGGGAGAATGATTCACCCCTTTTTCCGCAACCACCTCACAGCAAATCCTCCCCTCCTACTTCACGTAAGCACCTGTCATATTTTTCTCGTTTAGACTGCCAGCGAGATAACACAGTTCAATGGTCATGCAACATAATCCAACAATATCGTTCTCATGTACTGCATACACATAGACACAAAGAGCTAAAGCAAAATATCGAGTTAGCATTGCTACAGAATGCGAAAAAGGGAAAAATAAATAAATATGTAATCGAGTGCAATGGAAAAAATTTGTTCGGTAAAATTCAAAACTCATGGACGTGCAAACTGATCAGTTGCACCTGACACCACCGAAATACAACATAATAGTTGTGAACAGGTGTGATTCTTCACGCTCATTTAATCATGATACATGATACATATAGCGATATGCATTTCAGATTCCGGGCATCATTCCTGTGCTGGGATGAGCCCTGAGGCGTCAACCCAGGGGCAACCGAAACACGTACATCATGTACATATATTCATTTCTTGTACTCATCCGCATTCACGAGATAATGAATAACATTCTATACATGCGTCGCATTTTGGAGGTTGTAGTACCAGGAGAGGGATAGCCCGCGTATATACAATCTTGATTCCGCACAGTTTGCCGGTTGGTTAGTCGATTTCTGCGCCAGCGCACGAACCCTCTATCCTTGTTCTGTTCCAGTTCCTGGTGTTCCCTCCTGTGTTCTGTTTTTCATGATAGGGGGTAAAACGAGGAAGAGCCAAGTGCTGTTTGGCATTATTGCGAGCCCGCGCGTCGAGATAGCCCCAGTCATCGATGTTTTTTCGATACTTATGGAAGCCCTCTCCCTCCACCACACAATCTCCCCCACTACCCGTTACTCATTGTCGGCAATGGCTTTGGATATATCGGTACGTTTGCATTCGCTTCTGCACGTTTCTTTTATTTTTCCGTTCACATTCGCTCCCCACCACTTTTTTTCCTGTCTCATTTTTTTTTTCTTTTTCACTGGTGTTTTTTTTCCCCCTCTTTTTAGTCAATATTCCCTCTTACCCGCACCAACGCGCATATACAGCGTTATTGCCTTGTTTTTCCGCTTAACGTTTTAAAACTGGCCAATTTCGAATATTCGACGATTCAACCGGAAATTCGATTTTGGCCCACTTTCTATTGGAAATTTATCACTTCAAGTATATAACGTTGTGGGGATGGGGTTGGAAGAGTATTATCGGGGTACCCCATGTGGAAAGTCCGACTCTCATACCACCATGAAAACCTTAATTGACTTACTATTTGGATTTGAGATTTTTTTTATGCGGACTGTCTTGTGAAAATGGAAAAACACGTTTATCGTGTTTTCCTATCCGTATACTTGGGTTGCATTGAATTTACATTTGGGTCAGGTATTGAAGCGTCTGTATTTGCTTCTGGGGCAAGTTGGTACACGCTCGAGTCTCGCGTTGCCAAAGATTTACCGTCAATCGATATACCTATCCCAAACATCTCTGGCTGGTTCTCGTGCGTGACTGCATTTGATAATACGATTGGGATATGGCGTATGGGTGGAAAAACGGTTGTTTTAATTCATTGGATATAGGGGAGTCAGGGAGTTATTAAAACTAAACGACTTGGGGTATTTAAATTAGAGGATAAATTGGATTTTCGGTCAGGTGGAATAAGATGATAATTTCGCTCGTTCAGCTGTTGATCATTGGTGTTAATCTTCCGTGAATGGTCGGAAAACATACTGGAAAATTTCCATTGCTCGTTAAAGCAAAAATTATGGCGATAGCAACGATATTTTTCGATGAAACCGTGAATTCTGTTGCCAAGGGCTGAGAGAAGATGGGGGAGTGGGGTAAACTGCCCTCAGTTGACGATAACTCTAGATCAGTGGAGTGAAATTCAACAAAGTTTTTGCTATTTTCATGCTATCCTTCATACTTTGAAATATTACGAAGTTCACATCACTCACAGCGTTTGTCAGGCGATTTTTTTCGATATCAATTCCACCTAAATCATTCAGAGAAATATCTCTAAAGTGTCAGAAAAATATTTTCCCTTCAAAGATATCTACGATAGAATAAACTGCTCAATCCGATGTAGATTCATGTCCTGCCCTTCGCCAGTTCACTCCTGATTTAATGTCTGTACTAAGGATCATATTCTGTAGTGAGGTTTACCATCTAGATCGTTCATTTCAATATAAACTTTTTGAAGAGCTCTTTATTGTTTATCTCACATAATGTTGCTTTTCATGAGAACTTTTTTATGGCTTAAAAATGTTATTCAAACGAAGTATTATGAATGTTTCCTAAATGACCGATTTTGTTCTTGAAATTTTACACCATAGTCTCAGCCCTTTCGCTTCTGTCTCCCGTACTCAGGTCTTTGTTTATGCTTTCAAGTAAAACGGCACTTCGACTTTAAGACCCAGACGTTCCATAGAGGCCATTGTAATTCAATAGCAATGGAAGGAATGGGAAGGCTCTCTAGGACGCAACGCCAACCCAGTGTTATAGTCAACTGTATACGAAACACTGGTATGGGAGAAGATGAGAGGAAAGAGGGGATCGATATTCGTGACCCCGATGCGTTTTCAACGTGGTTTTCACATGGATATTTAGGGGTCTAGCTCGCGCCTTTGCCAAAATTCCCGAAAATGGGGGAAAGGGTAAAGTGCCACACCTCACCCTTCCACATTCTCTGCCGGGAATCCATTAATAATTCCAGGGGATGTTGATTGGGTACATAAAAATGTGCAATGTCTCGGCCGAGTATTTCATACATTTTCCGCTAATGATTCCTAATTAATTTCACCAATATATTTGGTTGTATTGCTATTAAATTGGTGATTTAATTAATGACGTGATTGGGAATGCTTGGTGAAAAAAACCCCAATTATCTGAAAAATCATGAATTCCCGTGATTGAGGAGGAGCGATGTTATCAGTTTGAGTTTCTGCTTTAATTGAAATTGTTATATCCTATCAGTGAAAAAACATTCTAGAGTTTGCTTTAATTATTTTCAAAAGTTGTTCACTTGTTTCAGTAAAATAAAAACGTATCCTGTTTTTTTTATGTGGATAAATTTATTTACAAGAGTAAAATATTATATACAAGGTTGAAAATATGGACATGAAAAACAAGACTAAAATAGTAAACACAGCCGGGCCATATTTGCCGTACCAAAAAATAAAAACGGGGTGATTTCATGTTCGTTTTCATGGAAATGTTATTTTTCAATCTTTTTTTGTCAATTTTTTTTTGTTCTCGTGAATCATTTCACTGTGATTCCCATTTGTTACTTCCTACCATTTTCATATAATCAATATTTAATTTCTTACTCATAGGTAATGTCTTAGGTATGTAAATGGTTTTTAGTGGATTTTTCTTTTTTCGACAACTCAACTCACATAGAAATTAATTTTCAGGATAGAAACATCTGTTTCATTATCATTATTTATCTGCTTTTATTTCCTTTTAAAATTTCTCGTTATTTTCTCCTATAACGTGACACTTATTTGACATTTAACACTGTGCGATTCTATGGTCATGTAGGAGAAGGTATAAGAGATAAAAGGAGACAGGTAAAAACTTGTGATTATTCTCAGCTTTGAGAGAAAAGCACAACTCCACATCGTATATATTATCCATTTTTTCTTTTTTAATTCTCAACCTCCCAAGCATAATAATGAGACTCTCGTTTCTCTGGAAGTTATCGAGGATTCCAAAGGTGCTGAAGGGGAGTTGGACAATAGACTTTGGATGGTAAGGGATGGGCGGAGAGGGGAAGGGGATCGGAAGAACACGAAGGGTGGTATGAAGAGAATTTTGCAGTGGGTTAAAAAATGTCGGTTTGGAGAAAAGGAAAATTCGCAGTTGAGGATTGGGTGGAGCCGTCGAATGATCATTGGAAGAGGTCGCGCGTCGGTACCTACAGACAATATTGTTATTCCCTCTCTGTCTTCTTTATTTATTTTACTTCTTCAGTTTCGTTCATTCATTTAACGTCTTGGCTTGTGTTCTGTCACGTTTGATAGTTTTCACCTGCTGCCTCCTTTCATCTTCCAGCTGGATAAAAGGTGGAAGAGACGTCGGGAGCGGATCTCAATTGTGAAAAGGAGCACTCCCTAATGCAATTTTAATTGTTCAAAAACGACGCTCGAGGAAAATACCGGGTTTTGAAACACATCTGAGGTGCGTTTTTCTCGTCTTGCCTCTAGTTTTTTTGTTTTTCGTCAACTCTTGATACATTCGTTAAAACATTCTATTTCATCGTTTCGAAAAGAGACACTCAGAAAAATATGGTCGCGACGTTTGAGCAATGGAGAATTGTCATCAATGCTGTCTCAATGTCTCATCAATGTCTCAATTTATACAAATCAATCATTTTTTTGATTTTCCTCGTTGCATCTACATACTGGAGAACATAAACATACACTGGTGTAACAATCACTCTGACAATTTCCCCCCTTTTCACTCGCTTCCTCTCATAATTCATTCTTTATTCCCTAATATGTTTTATCTGTCGCACACCCGCGCATTATAGTGCATTCTCACATTCACAATAATTCTTCTCTCTTTCTGGTACACACTGTAATCACGGCGCATCATATTATCTGAATTGGCACAGAATTAGGGTAAGTAGAAGATAGGGTGCTGGTTTACTGACAGCTGTATTCCCATGCTGCATTGCCGCAGGATGTTCACCTGTAACACACAAAACACCTCAATGTTAATTACATCATGTCTTTCATCATTTAGTTTCGATGCACGATAACAACAGCGCCCATTGACGATGCTTGAGGGTTAGAATAGCTATGCTAATGCTGTTGAGAGGATTCAAACCTTCGAAGAATTTTTGATTGGAAGTCATCTTACTTCGTGGATCCTCTAACAGCCAAACACATTCATAAATGATACACTGAGAAGACAAGAGTTTTCTGACAAGTACGTTTTTACTTGTACCAAGAAATTCATGGGCCGAAAATTATTAAGCGCACAATATCTCACACTAAGAAAAAAAATCTTACGTCAAGAAATTTTACAGTTGTTCGAAAGATGAGGGCAATTGGTTCATGTTAAGAAAACGAGCTCTCATATCAATTCAAGTCATTTTTGCATTAAAATAATCTAGAATTGAGACTAAAAAGCTATTTTTTTAATCGTTATTTTACATCGCTTCGACCCGGTTAGGGTATACTCCGAGGATGATCAAGACTTTCAATGGTTAGATCGCACCATTCTACCCGGCCGGGATTTTAACTCGGAACATTTCGCATGTGAGGCAACGAACTTATCCACTGCGCCAAGCCACCGGGTACTAAAAAACTATTAAATGAATTTATTCAATTTTACTTGATTTGAGAAATCGCTTTCTTGTCATCAAGAAATTGTCCTTGTCTTCAGCCAAGTACAAAATTTCTTGACGAAAGTTTTTTTTTCTTAGTGAAAGATATTTTGCTCTTGAAAATTCTCAAGCCACGAGTTTATTGATAGAATTAAAGACGTACTTATAAAAAAGCGCTGTTTCTCTCAGTGTATAATGAAGATGAATATTTTCTAATTTATGCGCTGAGTGGGAGATTGAGATAAAATTTCTGAAAAATTTGAGTATATTCGGATGTTTCCAAGTAGAACTTTGACTGCAATTTCACAACTTACTGGAATGCTCAATTAAACAAGCACATTAAATACCAACGGCATGAAAAAAAAACCCAGAGCTCGGAGTAAATAGACGAGACCAAGTCATCATGACCAGACTCGCAATAAATCATACAAAAATGACCCACAATTTCATCATGACAAAAATTTACAGGTCAGTATGCCAGAGCTGCATAATCAGCACGACCGTAAGAAATTTTCTGCTGGAATGTGTGAAGTACATCAACGACAGCAAAATACTCAAGTTACCAAAAGTAATGACAATTTACTTAATGATAAAAACAATGTAGACAAAAATTCTGAAAATTTTAGAAAATGAACCTCCACCATGTAACGAGCCAATACCTCATGCAACGGACCAATATCTCATTAGTCCATACGCTGTGACAGGTTCCGTATGCAATTTTAGGTCCATTGAATTTTATCATTTGACTTTATGTTTTGGAGATCCTTGAGCATGAATATGTTAATCGTTTTTGCGAGATGTTGTTAGCTTTGTTTATTGATAGCTATTTAATTGTTTATAATGCGAGTTTGCAGAAATGGTTGGAGTTAGGTAAAAATGCTTCAAAAAAAATGTTCCTTGTCTAAAAATACATTTATTTTATTGCTTTCATTTCTTTTTCACAGTTATCGAGCTATCATCTCCGACATTTTTGCTAATTATTACCAATTGAACAGCACATTTCAGAGTCATTAACCGAAAGTAGTGTCTGAAATGCAGTCGTAATCATAAACTCGCCCACAGACTCGTCCGCATGTATAGAGGCGAGCTCCCACAGTGTCTACGGGGCGCGGTTTCATAATACCTATGGGGCGTGCTCGCCCAGACGTTCTTATGGTTCGTCGCCCCGACACGTAATATCGCCCAGAAACATCCGGGGCGAAAGTAAATCAACTTGGAATTTCTACTGGGGTATGCATTAGAATCACTCGAATTATTTGTGTCACACGACGATAAAAGTATTATCTGACGACTTGACTTTATAATGTTCGAATGTGACTTTGTAATCACATTCGTCAGATAAGGCTTTTATCGCCTGATGACCTAATCTACTATTTCGTCACTGAGGCCCGATAACTGTACTTATGGTGGCTGCGTGTGCGTGTGTGTGTGTATGTATGTGTGTTTGGGAGGGGGGACAGCGTTTAGCAGGACGATACCGTAAATCGAGACTAGATATGGTAAGTGAGGCTTACCGGTCCATGGTTTCCAAAATCATAGAGTTGGATGCATAATCCCCATAACTTTTGTACAAGTGAAACATGAAGTGAGTCGTTATGACTGTGGCTTCGGCGGATCTGGCCAATATGGCCGTCGCTTGGGTGTGCAATTGAGCATCCTCCTGTCAATGATACGCTCGAGAATTTTCCCAGTTGTGTCAAACATGCAGGGCGGGCGATAGGATGATGGTTCGTCCGGTGGTTTCTTCCCTTTGGGGGGAGCACTAGCCTCTGCTGCTTCCACTTCGCGGGGAAGGTGCCTTCCTTCAAGCATGTATTATATAAATCTAGGAACAATCCTGGTGCTGCATTGATCGCTGATTTCAGCGCTATGTTGGGGATTCCATGAAGACCAGGGGCCTTGGTGTTCCCCACTCTGCCGCATGCTTCCTTCAATTGTTCCTCCGTAACTGGTGGGATTAATGTAGCCTCACAATGTTCTGTGGGATGGCGAAATTCCGATTGCTGAGGGAATAATACCGTCACAATCTTCGCTAGGAGTTCAGGGCATGAAGGCGATGACATGGGCTGGCTTTTCAGCCGCGTCATGACCACCTTGTATGACCTACCACATGGATCATCCTCGACTTCGTCAAGAAGTCCGCTCCAACATTGCCTCTTGCTGCCCTTAATCGCTTTATTGAGCTCTCGGCATACATTCTTATACTTCAACTCCAATTCCTGAAAATTCGGTTTCTTCCGACTACGTTGAGATGTCCTCCTCGCTTTTGTGCACTCGGTGCGGAGAGCGGCGATCTCATCATTTCACCAGTACATCGGTGGCCGACGATTTCCACTACGTTTTCTAGGCATGGAGGCATCATAGGCCTCGGTGACTCTCTTCATGAGTTGCTCGGCTTTTTCTGGGGCACTATTGCCACTGATCGGATGATCATCTAAGAATGAGCTGGGATCGAAGGTGCTCACCTTCCAGCCGATTTGATTCGTGTTCTTAGCAGCTGGTTTCTCCCGCTGACCAGCAGATATGTCCCAGAAACTTGCACGATGGTCACTAGCGGTGTAGACGTCCATCACTTTCCAGGAGCAATTCCCTTTTGCGAGATTGCTGCTTACGAAAGTGAGGTCCACAATGGAACTCGCCTCTCCTCTCAAGAACGTAGGCTCATCACCACTGTTCAGCAATACAACATCCAGAGACGACATGGCTTCCAGTAGTGCTTGTCCCCTTGGCTTCGTCTCGGTTATACCCCAGTCGACTGCCCAGACGTTGAAGTCCCCTCCGATTGCCACAGGGAAGTGCTGCTTCGGGTCTTTAGTCAGTCTGTCGAGGAAGTCCGTAAATTCGTCCATAGTGAGGCTTGGTGGAGCGTAGCAGCTGTAGAAATGAATTCCATTAACCTTAGCCCTCACAAAGCCATTTTCTGTATCATTACTGGTGGTTTGAAATGGCCGCTCACCACAAGCCCAGATTAGTGACCCAGCATCAGATTAGTGACTAGAATCAGTGACCCAGGGTCGAGCGTCTAGGTGACGATAGGTCTCCGAGATGATAACGAGATCAAGCTTCAACTCCCGCGCCGTCTGCATAAGCAGATTATGTACGGCCTTACAATGGTTGAGGATGAGTTGGAGTACTTTCATCGTCGCTCATTGAGGACCTTCTGGAGTGCCTCTTTATATACTGGGCATCTACTGCTGCCAACAATGTGGGCACAATTCTCCGTGTTGCCCTTCTCGGCGCATAAGGCGCATTGGGACTGCTCCGTGCAGTCTGAAGCCTTGTGGCCGGATGCTGAGCATTTGACGCAGAGCTTGGAGCGGTCAACTGTACTCGTGCACTTCGTGGAGATATATCCGTAGTGCCAGGAGTTGAAGCACTTAAGCGGTCTCTCCACTTTTTTCACTCGGCAATTAACCCAGCCTATCCGAATTTTGTCCTGGTCGCCCAGGATCTTCTTCGCCCTGTCGATCTACCCTGTTGGTAATAGAAGAGGTGGAATGTCCTCTCGTTGATTCTTTTTTGGGAGTTTTGTTCGGAAAAAAAATATGCGTTTCATTTTTATGTAAAAATCGTTCATCTTTCCGGGGAGAAGGGAGTCTCATCATCCTATTTCTTCGCATATTCGTGATGACACTTGTAAAGTTTCAACTTCCCGACCTATAGGGTAATTATAGTCATGATCCCGAAAATTGAATGTGGAATATCCATGATTTTTCCACATTTTTTGACGTTTAGAATCATATTGAACAAATTTTGAAGACATGCTCGTGTGTGTGTGTGTGTGTGTATATGTTTATATATGTATGTATGTCAATAAAATTTTGTCCGACGATTACTCTTCAATGGATGATACGATTAAAATTTTGTTTTCAATCGATGCATCTTTGTGTAACTTAGAACTGATCAGTTTGTGAAAACAATCGTCTCAGCGGTTAAAAAATGTGAAAAAACATCAAAAATGAGGTTTTTTGATTAATTCGGTCATTTTTTCAGTAGAAATGATGCGATTTGGACTATTTTCCATTCAAACAATGAATTTTCATATGCAGTACACCAGAAGGGATTTTGAGCAAAATTGACACAGGCGTTTTCCAGTTTTTCTAAAAATCAAACTTCTGGAACTCTGATTTTTTTTTCATTATCATAGCTCTGATTCTATACGTGACCATAACAATAACCTTCATGAAACCCTACGTTGGGCAGAATAGGGCGACATGGACCCGGGGGTGAAATGGACCGCGGATTGAAATTTGAAATTCGAAATTTGCTTAATGTGTCCCTTTAAGGTACGCATGTATAACTTTCCGATGCGAGTTGAAATTGGAAATTCGAAAATTCGGAAATGCGAAATTTGAAATTT